AATATTGTCTCATTTGATACTCACAACAACCCTGGGAGGGGGGTGCTATTATCATCCTCATTTTACAGTTGAGGAAACTGAGGCAGACAGAGATTAAATGACTTGCCCACAGTCAAACAGTTAGTAAATATCTGAGGTTATACTTGAACTGAGGTCTTAGGACACCAGCCCTAGCACTCTATTCACTGGACCACTTTGTACTTTTTTATGATTTATTAGTCAGTCAGGATTGATACATTGAACACTAAGCTGGGAACTGTATGGGAAGCAAAAAAAGAGTTACCAACCAGGTGACGCCAGCTTTGCTGGCATTTTTTCAAAGAACATGGGTATAACTCACTATGATTGTTTTTGTGCTTGTGTTTGGTTTATTTGTTAACTTGACCATTCACATTATATTTCCAGTTTCTCCCCTTATCATGCCCACTATCTCTTCCTTTACTTCAGTCTCTGGTGAAGAACGAAGTTACCAAAAATCCACATTAATATTATAAATATAAATTACATATTTATCTGGTCAATAAAGGATGCTTTGGAGGAAAATAAAAACTAGAAAGCAAGTGAAATACCAAAATATGAAAAACTAACAGTAAAGACTCCAAAGAAAAAAATCCTACTGCTTGATTCAATGATTCCCTTACAAATATACCCTGAAAATGTTATCAGAAACAGTGAAAAGAGCTGCTTATTCGTTTCATAGGAGTATTTCATTTAATTGCAAAAACAAACAAAAAAAAATCAAAAAAGCTGGAAGCATATTAAATGTGCAATAATCAGAGAATGGTATATTAATGTAATTAATGGTACATTAAAGTAATGGAATACTAGAAAGCAATTTAAATGGACAAATATGAGGATTATAAAGAATCCTAAAAAGTACTTTACGAAATAACACAAAGCAAAATGTGCAGAATCACATGCAGGTTACACACACTAATTAAAATTATATGAGGAAAAGTGAATGAGAATGAACAGAGAATCTTAATGAAAACTTATAGGAGAAGCTGAAAAAGTGTTTTGACACAAAATGAATTGAAGTCAAATAATTTAAATATAATAAATATAGATGCTGTATTGATTTTTAATGTTAAGTTTTTAAACAACTTTTCATTAATCTCATCTCTAGGTCTATGGCCTTTTCTTTTCCAACAGTACTATCTTTCTCTTCATTCATAAAAGCACAAAATTCAAATGTACAATGGAGGTAATTCTGGAGGTACAAAGGATACATAGCAGAAGTAAATCACAAGTACATAGTCACTGAGAATAGGGTCTTTTCCCGTTTTGTCCATAAGTCTACACTCTTTGGCTTCTGGTTGAAAGTAATCGTCATTTGTCTTAACACACTAGTGGGGTTCCACTGGATTCTGAGCATAATAAATGTCCAACCAGCTTTTCCAGGTTATGTTATATTGTATTCTGTTGTGTTGTGTCAGGTTATGTTTTTGCTTTTTGATCATTCAAAATTTTAGATCAATGTAAAGTTTGATATTTTCCAGCATCAGTTATACTTTCAGAGAGCAGAACAGTATAATGAGTTAAGTGGGCTTTACAAAAGGAAACAGTAAAAATCACAGTACACAAGACAGGGGAACTAATATGAACAGTACAATACATATATACTATATGTACATATAGCTAAGAGTCAGGACACCTGCATCCCTTTATGTTTTGCTACTTACTACCTGCATAATCTCAGACAAGTTATTTTATCTCCCTAAGCCTCAGTTTTCTTCTCTGTAAAATCTGGTAAAATCTGGACAACATGATCATTACAGTACCTGCACGCAGACCATCTTGAAGGCTGGAAGCAGACAGAACCTTCAAGAAAATTGCTTAAAGCTTAGGTTTGGCTCATGTTCAGAGTATCTCCAAAAGGCAGAAAATGGAAGCATATTCAATGTTCAATACAGATCACAGGGTTGGAAAGAAGAAAACAGTAACATGTAACTACTGCCATGACCCCTGGAAGTTGATAATAAAAACATACTATGAAGTAGGACTTCTAAATTAACATTTTGCCTGTTCCCTAGTCTATAGACTGACTTTCTGAACAGCTCCATCCAGGTCTGTGATAGAATGGAAGCTGGGAACTGACTGGCCTCAGCTTCCCAGACATAGTCTCCTTTCTCACCCTCTTAGTGAACCCACAGTAAGCTTAGGACAAAGATGCACCTAGGACCAGACTGGGCCTGTCTTCCTTGATCAGCTTTCTAGGTCACTCAGGGTAATTAAAAAAAAAAAAGTCCCAGCCACATAAAGGCTAGGCCTCTCACACTTGGTGGGTACCTAAAACCACACAGGTCACTGATGACATAATGACCAGGCTTTGAAGTGCCTAGCCCCCCAAAGAGGATAGCTAGGTGGCTCTGTGGATAAAGTGTCAGGCCTGGAGTCAGGAAAAAACAAGTTCAAATCCCAGACTGGCTGTGTGATCTCGCTAGCTTCTTATCTGCCTTAGTTTCCTCATCTGAATCTGAGATAATAAGCACACCCACCTCACAGGGTTGTTGCCAAGATCAAATGAGATAATATTTGTAAAGCACTTAGCACAGTGTTTGACACATACTAGGCATTATATAAATATGTAAATGCTTTTCCCCTTCCCCTTCATCCAGAGAAACTAAAGACCACTGTATTATTGTTGCACATTCTCACTGTGTAGGAGCAAAGTAAACCTCTTTTGTTAAAGTTCAATGACTGAGTCCCTCATTGCATCCCAACATAGGTAGAGCTCTTCTTCCTGTCAGTGATCACCTTCTCCAGTGCAGAAACCCCTGCTACCAGTCAGCTCTGAGGGGACCGAAGTCTCAAGACACCTTGAACATGCAAGGTTGCCTCTAAGGCTTGAACCTTCCACCCCAAACTTAAACACCTAGGCTTAGGAGAGAAACACGAAAAAGGAGAGGCAGCCAGAATCTAGGTTCAGACTTGCCTAAGCTAACATACATGCTCATGGTCTTCCAGTTCTCATAGGAAATCGAGGGACAGGGAGAAGATTCACAGGCTTTTTCATAGCCACTGAGTCAGCAGCCCTGCCCACTCAGTGGTAAATAAGGGAATTTGCTTTGTCATGTTCAGCAATGAGCCACATGCACCTTCAGAAGTTGCTAAGGAAGCTCCATGGGAGGAACTAAATAGCCCCATAACATTCTAACTTCCCTAGCATGTTAGGAGAGTAGCAGAAATTGGCAATCTACATCCAGAGAAATTCTAATTTGCTTAGAAGCAACTAAACAAATTTTTCTTCTCTTCTACTTCCCTTCTATTAGAAGAAGCTATGTCAACCAGTGACCACTTTTTGGTTATAAAGTGAATAATAGAATAATCTTACACAATGCTTAAGCATTAAGTTTATATATTTTTAAATCACCCAGTGGCCATATTCTGACAGGTTCCAAGAGAAGATGATTGGCAGCATTCATAGTACCTGGCTCATTTACATAACCACACAATGAGACGAGCAAAACGTGTTGATTTTTTATCTCAAAAAGTTCTGGAGAGTTTAGTGGAGTGCAAGCTCAAGGAGTCAGCAGTGAAATGGCAGCTAACCAAGCTTATTTGAGTTTGGACTGAATTAAGAGAAGCATAGTTCTCACAATAAGGAATGGATAAATCCACCCTCCTCTTAGTCAGACCTGGAAGACTGTACTCATTTAAATATTCCACAGTTTTAGGAGGATATTGAACATTTTTATAACACGGTAGTATTTCACCACAATCATATACCACAATTTGTTCAGCTATTGATTCAGACACTGATCATTCAGTTCAATGATCTTAGAAAAACAGGGATAGACTTGCACGAAATTATTAAAGAGTGAAATGAGCAGAGCCAAAAGAACATTGTATATAGTAACAGCAATATTGTTTTAAGAACAACCTTTGGTGAATAAGTCATTTTGACTATTATAAATACCCAAATTAACTATGAAGGTCTTATGAAGAAAGACATTATCTGCATCCAGAGAAAGAACTGATAAATATGTGTTAAACAAATAATTTTACACACACACACACACACACACACACACATATGTATATATACCTATTTGTGTCTAATGGTAGCCATCCTTGTAGGGCAGGGGTGGGAGGGAGAAAAGAAAAAAGGAAAAAAAGAAAAAAAATTTATGTGCTATTATATATTTAAAAGGTACAGCAAGTTGTGTATAATAGAGCTGCAGTTTTATATGCAATCTTTTTTTATCATACTGTTATGAAAATGGTTGTTTTATTCTATAAATTAAAAATAATTTTTTTCAATTACAAAAAAAAGGGTCTCGAATAGTTAGGAATGTACAGATGAGGGCAAGCAGGATGGTGAAGGACATTGAAGAGCATGACACATGAAGAGCAGTTGAAGGACCTGAGGGGTATTTAGCTTGGAAAAAAGAATATTTGAGGAAGACATCAGAGGTTTCTTAAAGTATCTGAAGGGCTGTCATATGAAGAAGAGATCAGACTTGACTTGTTTGGCCCCAGAGACTAGGACCAGAAATGAAAGATACAAAGAGGAAAATTTAAGACTTCATGTCAGGGAAAACTTCCTAAGAATTGGAACTGTCCAAGACTACCTGCACTGCCTTGAGAGCTGGTAGATTTAGCTTCTTAGAAATCTTTAGGCAAAAGCTGGATGACTACCTCTTAGGTATGTTGTAAAGGGAATTCTTCTCATGAAAAAGTTAGATTACATGACTGCTAAGGTCTATTTCAACTCTCAATCTCTGTAATTCTGTAATAGTGTAATCTCTCATATGCAGAAAGGGACCCAGAGAGATGAGTTTCCTTGGTAAGGTCATATAGTAAAAAGTGGAATCAAGCTTCAAATCTATGTACTAGCTTCAAATTTTTTGGATTCCTAACCCTTTTCATTTATTTTTTCTCACTTGGATTTTCAGCAATTGTGAAGGAAGGGAAGAGAAAATTTTTCTTCTCTCTTCTCCTCAATATTAACAGTAGTTTGCAGCATAAGCACAAGGTCATGGGAGACATATATTTACCCAAGTGCACCTGAGTTCCCTGGCTGCCTTCTGCATTTCTGTTTGATTGATGATTCTGAGAATTGGATATTTTCACCCTTGTTGTTTATCTCATAAAATGATAGTTCTTGAGATTGAGATTGGCCTAGAGGGAAACAGAGGGAAGATTCTCTTAACAGCTTGCTTGTCATGGGAAGTGACCAAGGGCAGAATCATTCTGTAGCTGAAAGACTAAATAGTCATGCATTGGCTGGTGAGAAGAACTGGAACTTGAAATTGCTTGAATAGCACAGGTCTAAGGGAAATGTAACATATATATATTTAACATTTACACTACTTATCAGGACTTTCCTGAGGCAGTACAGTAGGTCAAATGAGATGTTTTACGTATCAGTTAATGTGTGCCTATGTGTTTTCATGCTTCTTGTATGATTTCTGTCAAGGGAAATAAACAGCTGATTTATACCTGATATCCACATTGTATGTGGAATATATTTTTTAAGGAGTTACTACATTATTCTCATTTGGTGGAGATCCCACACATGAGATTTCCCTTAAGTTACTGGGGGTAGGGGGAGGAGAGGCCATTAAAATGTGAACTCCTTGAGAGCAGAGACCATGTTTGCCTTTCTATGGATACCCAACACATATATTTCTTGGTGCATTAATAAATGCTTCTTGATTGACTCAGAAAATTGACTGCTCTTTGGGGTCAGACCTCTACCCTTGGGATTGAACTCAGAAATCTTTGTTACCCGAGTCTCTCCCTGGACTTTAAAGGTCCAGTAGGAAGAGTGAAGCTTTCCTTTGGGAAGCTCTAAATCAATAAATTGAATGATGACTCTTGCAAATATGCACAAAATTGGAAGCATTTTGGGCTAGGACCACATCTTATCTTATTTAGGACCATATAATTCACAAATACTAGGGATCTTATATATCATCTGGTCTTATACCTTCATTTTACATTTGGGGAAACTGTGGCTCAGAGAAATGAAATTGTCAAAGGTCACAGAGAGCGACTGACAAAGCCAGAATTCAAAACAGAAATCATCTGACTTAACAAGCAGTGTTCATTCCACCATTCAACAATTTGTTTTTATATTTCTTCCTAGTGGAAGATATTAACAATAGTAGGTGCTAAATAAAATAGTTTTAGAACAAAAGCAATAACCTTAAAGTCAGACAAAAATTTTTTTGTAATAAGATTCATTTCAAAAACTAGAACCCTTTTAAACAAATGTCATCTTCCAAAAATTCCTAATTTAGTTTTTGTTGTTGCTGTTCAGTCATTTCAGTCATGTCCCACTCTCTGTGAACCCATCTGGGGTTTTCTTGGCAAAGATACTGGAGTGGTTTGTCATTTCTTCTCCAGTTCATTTTACAGATGAGGAAACTAAGGCAAATGGAGTTAAGTGACTTAGGTAGGGTCACACAGCTAGTAAGTGTCTGAGGCCAGATTTAAACTCAGGAAAATGAATCTTCCTGACCCCAAGCCTGGCTCTCTATCCACTACACCACCTAACTGAGCTTTTACCAAAATGTAATTCCCATTCCTGCAAAAAAAAACCCTTTAGAAACTATATCAGACTGCATGCCATCTTGGGGAGGGAGGCAGGGAGGGAGGGGGAGAAAAATTTAAAACTCAAAAGCTTATGGAAATGACTATTAATAAATCAAAATAAATTAATAAAAAAAATTTTTTAAAAACATTAGAAAACATAATATACAGATATTTCCTTAATATAGATAGTAGCTATCTAAAATAAAGAACCAGCATCACATGGAATGATAACAAACTAGAGTACTCTATAACAAGAACAAGGATAAAGCAAGGATGGCTCCACTGTCATCACTGTCACCATGACCATTTGATATAGTGCTAGAAATGCTACCTACAGAAAAAAGAAAAAGAAACTGAAGCAAACAAAGGTATCACTTTTTTGTAAATGATGCTATGAACCCAGGAGCTTTAACTAAAAATTAATTGAAATATTTTTGATAAGGTTGTAGGATGGGAAATAAATCTACATAAATTACCAGTATTTCTATATATTACCACCAAAACCCAACAGGAAGAGATAAGAGAAATTCCATAAAATAACTACAGAATGTATAAAATACTTGGGAATCTACCTGTGAAGATATATATAGGTACTAAATGCAAAAAACTAAAAACACTCTTTACACAAATATTCATAGAAATATTCATTCTTTATTGTTAGGAAGAGCTAATATAATAAAAATTACAACACTAACAAAATTAATTTATAACTTCAGTGCCACATCATTCAAATTATCAAAAGATTACTTTAGAGAGCTAAACAAAATACCAAAATTTGTTGGGATAAACAAAAGGCCTAGAATGTTCAAGGAAATTTAAAAAGTGGAAAGGAAGAAGGTCATATAGTACCACATCTCAAACTATACTACAAAGCAGTAATACTCAAAACTATTTGGTACTGGTTAACAGAAGGGTCAATCAGTGGAAGAAAAACAAATAAACAGTAGCCTGGTGTTTTAATAAAAGCCCTAGCTAATGGGACAAAGAACTTGCCATTTGGGAGAAGAAGAAAAAAAAAAAACTGCTGAGAAAACTGGCAAGCAGGCTAGTAGAAGCTATGTATAGACAAACATATGAACTGTATACCAAAATAAATCCAGATGGACATAAAACTGACATAAAGAGTAACATCATTAAAAAAAAAATAGAGGAACATGAAAGAAATTATCTTTCAGATGCCTGGATAGAGACATAGCTCATAACTAAACAAGAGATAGAAAGACTCTTGATAAATAGATAATTTGATTACATAAAATTAAAAAAGTTTTTGCACGAAGCTAACTTAGCTAAAATTAGAAGGGAAAAAGGGCAACTGGGGAAAAAAAAATCTTCACTGTAATCTCTGACAAAGGTCTCATTTCCAAGATACACATTCAAGAATAATTTTGTACCAAAGATATGACCAGGCAATTTTCTGAAGAAAAAAAAATTAAAGTTATCTAAAGCTATATGAAAAAAGGCTCCAAATTACTAAAAGTTGAGGAAAAGCAAATTAAATAAATTCTAAGGAGCCATCTCACTCCTATAAAATTAGCAAAGTTGATAAAGAAAGAAAAATAACAAATGCTGGGAAGAATTATGAGAAAATAAGCACATTATTGCAATGTTGGGAGACCCTTGGTCTAGCCATTCCAGAACTGAACTGCCCATCCTCTTTGTGCCATGGATAATCTTCTTGGGTCCCAAACAGATGAAAGAAGAAAAGGGACTAATTTGTACAAAAATACCTATAGAAACTCTTTTTGGTAGTGATAAAAAACTGGAAACTAAGCCAGAATCTATCAACTATAGAATGACTAAACAAATTATAATGATATGAATATAATGGAATACTATTGTGTCAAAAGTAATGATAAAAGGAATGGTTTCAGTGAAACCTTGAAAGACTTCAATGAATTAATGCAGAATAAAGTGAGCAGAACCAGGAGGAAGAAAAAAAAAAACCCATACAATAACAATACTATAAGGACAAACAACTTTGAAAGACTTAAGAATTATGATCAACCCAATGATCAAGCACAATTACAGAGGGCCAGTAAAGAAACTTTCTTACTTCTTAACAGAGAGGACTCAGGATTCAGAATGAGGAATATATTTTGGAATATGGCTAATGCTGGAACTTACTTTGCTTTCTTATGTACTATGTGAATTTGGGTTTTGTTTATTAACCTTTTTATTATGTTAATATCAAATGAAACATAAAGATATATGCTTGAAGAAGGTGCTCATTAGTTTCATAAAGTAGGTCTTGAGCAGAATCCAAATGGAAGAATTTCTTACAGTGATTAGTTTTGTTCAATTATTTAATCTGTGCTCTCACAGAGAGGGGATACTCTTGAAATACGTGTAATGTAACAACACAAATACATTAATAAAACCTTAAACAAAAACAAAAAATAAAGTACAACAGAAGGGAGCAAAAGTGATCCAACTTGCTTTCTTCCTCCTATTCAATTCTGTGCCCAGCTCATTACCTATCCGCCATGCATATATATGATATATGTACTGATGTGTATATGTATTTGTTACAAGGGTTTTGTTTTTCCTTTTCTTTTTCCATTTTCCTCAATGGAAGTTGCAAAAAGGGGGAAATTGAATTTTGTTCATCAAAGAAAATTAAATTAATTATTTTTTTAAAAATTCTTATTTTTTTCACTGGTCATAGTTCCATATGATGCATTTAAGGGGAATCTAATACAAATTGTATCCACTATGCTTAAGATAGCATCTCACATACTTAAAAAATAAATGTTGACTTAACTTGACAAATGGTTAACATCCCCTTTGTTAGTTAACAAAAGTATCATTCCAGTATTACAACATAAGCCCTTTGAGAGTAAAAAGTGATTTTTGATTAGTTTTTCTATACATGCAACTATTCATTGATAGAATCTCAGGTGGCAGGCTTAGAAAAGACCTAAGAGATCATAGTATAACCATATTCAGCTTGAAGACTTCCAATGGTGGCAACTCACTATTTTTCACAATACAACAACTATAATTTTTAGTAAGTTTTTCATTAGCTGGAGCTACCAACTATGTAACTTCCAACTATTCATATTCATACTCTGTTGAGCAAAAGTTAAAAAAAAAAAGTTTAATTCATCTTACACATAGTTCTCTTGAAATATTTTAGGAACTGTTATCATACCCTAAATAAATATTTTCTTCTCCAGACTAAGTATTCACAGTAACTTCAATGGAACTTCCAGTGGGGCTGGTTTTGAGTACCATCATCATTTGGTTGATAACTATCTCAGTGATGACCATTTCCTGCACCAGTTTCAGTTGGTCAATAAAATGTGGCCTCAGAAATAAACTCAATATTAATGTTATGGTCTAAGCATGCAAAATTACAGCAGGACTCCCATCGAATCACAGACTTATAGCTGGAAGAGTCTTTAGAGGCCACCTAATCTAATCTCCTCACTTTAGAAATGTGGAAACTGCTCACATAAGTTAAGTGACTTACTCAAGATCTCTAACTTCAAAGTCAGTGAGTGCCACCTCACCTCCATCATTTTAGTGCTATACTAAAATTAACGCTGTGAAAAGCCTGAAAGCACTTAAAAGTTACTCATAAATTGGGTAACATGGTAAATATTTTCATCAAAGCTAGGGGTTATGGGAGCTCTGACACTTGGAATATCACTAGAGCAATTAGCAATCACAGTCATTTAGGCCCTCTCATAACGAACCTGGACACTGCTCGTCGTTCCCCAGGACTCGCAGGGTCACCTCCTTCCCCTCGCAGTCCCCGGGTTACCCCCCGACTCTCAGTCGCCGGGTCACCCGCCAGCCCTCGCAGTCCCCGGGTCACCCGCCGCCCCTCGCAGTCCCCGGGTCACCCCCCGCCCCTCGCAGTCCCCGGGTCACGCCCTCTCCCGCGGGAGCCGTGCCTCCCATCCAGGCCGGCCTCACCTAATGGTTCTGATCACAAAATACACCAGCACCGCGGCGCTCACCACCATCAGCACCAACAGGGCCCTCTGGGTCATGGGCTTGTCGCCAGAATTCGGGGACACGGCCAGGCCGCCCCCTCCGACCCCGGCAGGCCCAGCTCCTGGGCCGCTGCCATTGCCGCTGAGCCCTGCCTGCCCGGAAGGGACCACGGTCCTGCCACCGCCCGGGAGGCCGGGGAAGCCCGGCCCCGCAGGGAGGGCAGTGCCCGAGGCCCGGGGCGGCGGCGGGGGCTGGGAAGGCGTCAGCGGGGCCCCCGGAGCCGAGGGTGGGGGGGCGTGGGCGGCCGCTCCGTCCAGCAGCAGCAGCAGCAGCAGCAGCAGCAGCAGCAGCGAAGACAGCTGCCCCCTCAGCGCCAGCGGCAGCGCGGCCGACAGCAGGCGGCGGCAGCGGCAGCGGCAGCGGCAACGCGAGGCCCGCATCATCCCCGCGCCGCCCGCTCACCACGCCGCACGCGCCAGCCCCACCACCCTGGCCCCGGCCCAGGCCCGGGCTCCGGGAGAAACCATGGGCGCAGCAGAGGAGGAGGCGGACTCCCAAGAGGAGGAACCGGCGGCGGAGGCCAGGCCCGGGCCACTGGGGGAACCGGAAGTTTGCACATCTCCAGAGACGCCCGGCTACTAGGGACGCTTCTGGTTGCCATAAAACGGCAGGAAGGGCGGAGAAGCAAGCGTCCGGTGACGTCACGCGCAGAAGGGGGCACGTGGTGATCCCGGGAAGGGCCGAGCTGAGCGTGCCGAGCCTCCTAATACGGAATGTTTGTGTGTGTGGCTGGTGGAGGAGAGTTACTTGTTGAAGTCGTCTGAGCAAGGGGTATATAAAGTAATTTTCCCATTATTTAGAGAATAGGGAATCATTCTTTCTTTCAAGAGACATATATTAAAACCACTATCTGTAGATGCACCAACATCTCGCTAATCCAGAAAGCTAATCCATTAAGCACTGTCCCAGTGGATGTCAGGAGTCCACCTGGTATTCAGGATGGAAGACTTGGGTTAGGACACCTACAAGCAGAGCGAACCCAGACAATTCACAACCTCTTAGGACCCCCGGCCAGCGCTAATTTCTTACAGTTAGTTGCGTTTGTGGAGATATAATTCCTACAGCAAATACACTCTTCTCGTGGCCTTGTTACTGGCAAGTTGTATTTCTCTATCTACCCTCCCAGTCACAACCAAACTCCTAGAGAAAAAAAAAAGCCATCAAAACCAGTGCTGGCACAGAGAATGTGCTTAATAAATTCTAGTTGAGTGAATAGACTCCTTAATTGCTTACTCTCCTCTCATTAATGCTATCTGCCACCCAAGCCTGGCTCTTAACTGAAAATGCTCCATCCAAAATTTCAACTATTTCAATCTCAACTACTACATACAATGGTCTTTTTTTTAATCCTCATACTTCTTTGACCTCCCTGCAGCTCTTGATCCTGTTGACTACCACCCCCCCATCTTATCTTCTCTCTGGTGTTTCATGGCATTTCTCTTTTCTGTTCTTCTCTCTTCTCTCTCCTTGCCTCATCATCCTCAACCTCCTTTATTAGATTAAAATCTATTTCTTGTTCCATATGCTTCAGTGTAAATCATGTCTTGGGTTCTCTTTTCTTTTTTTATACCTTCTCTTGATGACTTCATGGAATCAGTTAACAACTCTATACAAATGTCTTCTAGATTTACATATCCTGTCCTCATCTCTTTCTTGAGCTAAAGATTTATGCCTCCAAACTGCACGATGAACATTGTTATGTGGATGTCTCATAAACACTTCGTACTCAATTTATGTAAAAGGATATCTCCCTAAATCCATCCTTCTTCCTAATTTCTCTATTTCAGTGAAGGCACCACAATACTTTGTTACTTTGTTTCACAATTGTATTTCTAGTGACCCTGTTTCATCATAGACTCTTCACTCTATTGTAAACAGGATTTCACTGAGCTAGTCTCTAACCTGAGAAGGATGAAACAGTGGGCTACAAAGAACCGGTAATCAGGTAGCCATTCAATTAGTTTCATTATGAGAAATAGATTGGCAAATCAGGAATTCTTCTGATCAGAATTCCACCTTGCTAAAGCCAAGACAGAGATTATATATGTAAATCACAATGGGAAGGGAGGGAGGGAGGTGGATTACAAACAGTGGTTTCCAGGGCCAGAGTGTTTCCCACAGTTTCCCACAAATGGAAGACTACTACAATTCTGGATTCTAGTCTTCAGGGGTTGTGACTTGGAGGGGTCAGTCGCAAGAGCAGAGTTCTCTGAAGGGAACAGGTTCTATAATCTTTGACTGGATTCACTTCAGGTACACAAGCACAAGGATGCCAGTGATTGTAAGCCTTGTCAAAGTCTGATTGATCATTTTAAGCTGCATTGTGAGCTCTGACTCACAAGCTGAAAAAAAGCAATTCTTGAGAATTCTAAATTATTAGTATATTCATTACACATATCACATAGATTAATATAAAAATCATAATTCCACACTAATCATAAATTATCAGTTGCCAAATTTTATCATTTCTACCTCACTATGTCTTGTATTCATTCCCTTCTCTTCACTCACACTCACTACTCTTGTTCTCCCTTATCACCACATACCTCAGCTATCTGAAATAGCTTCTAATCGGTACTGCTACCTTTAAACGTCTACCCTCTCCAATCTGTCTTCTACATAGCTACCAAGCTGTTATTCCTAAAGTACACACCTAAGTCACTCTTCTGTTCAAAAAGCTTAATTGGTTTCTTCATTGCTTCTAAGATAAAATAGAAACTCCTTAACCTATTATTTCAATCCCTTCACAATTTGACTTCAACCCACCTTTCCAGATTTTTTTTTTCACATTACTCAGATTTACTCATTCTACTTTTCAAATAAACTGGCCCACAAGCTGTTCCTTGCATGTGATCTTTCTTCCTGTTTCCATTCCTGGAATTGTCACCCTCCTCCCCTTTCCCTCTTAGCATCCCTAACTTACTTAATTCCGTGATCAGTTCAAGTGCCATCTCTTGTATTAGGCCCTTCCAGATCCCTAACATTGTTAATATCACCCCACAGTTATTTTGTATTTACTTGGCATATATTATATATTCAACTATCTGAGTACATATTTTCTTCCCATAATAGAATAAAGTCTCCTTGAGAGTACAAACTTTCAAAGTGGGAACATCAAAATTATTTGGTACTGGCTAAGAAATAGAGTAGTGGATCAGTGGAATAGGTTAGGTACACAAGACACAGTACTCAATGAGTACATTAGTAATCTATTGTTTGGTAAACCCAAAGACTCCAACTTCTGGGATAAGAACTCACTATTTGACAAAAACTACTGGGAAGACTAGAAAATAATATGACAGAAACTAGGTGTACACCAACATCTCACACCCTATACCAATGTTTTAAAACAGGCAGTTTTCAGATGAATAAATTAAAGCTATCTATAGTCATATGAAAAAATGTTTTACATTTAATTTACATTTAATTGGCACTTTACAATGTATCTTTTAATCTTAATTATTTTGATCTCAATGGTAATCTGTGTAATTGAGTAAAATTTTCTATTAGTTTTGTAAGGGGCTTGCCCTGGGAGTGCCCAAATCTTCTAATATCCTGCATCCTGCATTTTTCTACCACATGACTGGAAGGAGCCTCCTTTCATACTTTGCTTAGCAGGAATAAGCTGAGTCTTTAAAACTAGTCAGACTGTGACATAATAGCAATACTGACAGATGACTTTTTTTGAAATTGGTAGTTACTGCTGGAGTTCAGGTTCTCTAGTGGGTTTTGGCCTCTTTGTCGGAAGTGCTGCCTAAAGTTAATACAATGCTTTCGGGAGTAGAAAATGACCACCACCAGTAGTTGAGTTCAAATCATACTCTCACTTGCCAGAAACTCACCTTAAGTAGTGTTTTGGGGGAAGGTACAGAACTGAGGTGAAGGTGAAATACTTATTCAACCATTCCACAAAGTGTTTCATATTTTAAATAAAAACCTTTTAGGAGAGTACAACAGGATTTAGGTTTCTATATCATGTTTTAAATATTTATCCAAGATTGCTTATGGGTCTTTTGTGTTTTAAGTATTTCTTTTGCAGTGGAGAAAATAACTGTCCTAAACCTGATCTACTTTGTATACTGAATACCTTACTATGACGGACTCTGTTCTCCAGAAGGGTTAGACTAGTTCACAGTTCCACCAGCACTGCATTAGTGTATCTATTTTCCCACATCCCAGAAAGCATTTTTCATTTTCCTTTTCTGACATCTTAGCCTAACTCATGTTTTAATTTGTATTTCTTGAATTATTAGTGTTTTGGAGCATTTTTTCATATAACTATCAATAGCTTAGATTTTTTTTTCCTTTGAAAAGTCCTTATTGATAACTTTTCACCATTTGTTAATTACAGAATGGGTTTGTTATAAATTTGAATAAAATTTTTGCATGTCTTTGAAATGGACACATATAAAAGAATCTTCCTACAAAGATTTTTTTTCCCCTAGTTACCTTGTTTCCTTCTAATTTTATTAGCACTGGTGTGCACAAAACTTTTAAAATTTTATGTAATCAAGATTGCCTGTTTTATTTTCTATAATCCTCTCCATCCATTCCTTGCTTGGTCATGAGCTATTCCCCATTACATATATCTGAAAAGTAATTTCTTTCTTGATCCTCTAATATGTTTATTATATATATTATAATATATAACATTATAGTATATATTTTATATCATATATAATATAATATTATATTATCCTTTAGGTCCAAGTCTTCTACTTGGGATGTCTTTCAAGTGCTATTAACTCCAACTTCCATTCTGATATAATCTTCCTAACATTAATCATCAGATATGCTCTTATATTATTGATTGACCTAGTGATTAGCACCCCGACAATATTTAACCAATTAACATCAACTTTTTTTTAAATAAAGGAATGTTTGTTTGAAAGACATAACAAGAATTACAAAAGCATTTCTCTAATACCTAAGTATACACTCTCCCCTATACCACCTTAGTCTCTGAGGAGCACGAGCTCAAATTTAATGTAGTGACTAAAAAAGCA